AACCTTGATCCCTCAGATCTGTCTCCTGAGTAGCTACGATTATAGGCATGAGCTACTAGCACCCGGCTTTCTCTTAGCCTTCTTGGATGAGACTGTGCTGATACCACTTGGGCCACATGGGCAGTGGCTGAGGTTTTTGGATGATAGCAACCTTGCCCCAGTTCAGGGACAGCAATAGCTGTAGTCACTGTGGGCTTCTGCTTAATGAAATCTCCAAAGAGCCTCAGCCAGGTCTGGGCAGCCAGTTCATAAACTTTGAGAGGCTGGGCTGATGGTGGTTTAAGTGGGTAAGACCCTGTGGCTTGCTGTGGGTACCCAGTCCCATGCTGAAATCGGTTCAAGGAGGGGGTAAGAGATACCAGCCACTGGTCCCTTCTGGCATTCTACTCCCCCGCGGCCCTCAGGCATTGTCCACTTAGTCTACTTATCCTATTTTCCTTTCCCTTTTTTCCATGGCTTACTTGGAAAACTTGACTCTAGGAGAAGGACACTCATTCCTCCAAAGTAGGCAAGATCCAGCATGTAGTGCCTCCTACATGGGAGCCTTGTAACCAGCCCCCACTCCTGGCATGACACACACCAGCTGTGAACAGGGCTGCATGTTCTCACCAGGCCATTCTGCCAGCAGAGCTACAAGGCCAAAGCAGGGGCTCCCTGACCAAGGCTGCCAGGCAGAGGCATCTGTGACATATTTGATTCTCACCTGTTGCACTTCCTGGGTTTGTTATTCATGGTACATATGGACAGGACTGAGCTGCCTTTTGATGGTAGAGGAGCTTGAGATTTGGGTCAGTGGCAGAGGAATGGAGCCCTTAGAGGAATAGAGGAGGCATGGGTCCTGAGGGAATGGAGGGAGGGGAACAGGGAGTCAAGGAAGTTGGGACACTGGACAAGGTGACTCTTATTGAGGTGGGACCTGAGGCAGGAGGAGATTATCCTAGTAGTGGTCTCTGCCCCTAGTAAGCGTAGTCCACAGAGGATTTGGATAATGGCAACAGGCAATGTCACCCCTTGTCCCCTTCCCCAGCTCCTGGCATCTATGAGTCCATTCCATATTTCTGGGCTCTCCTGTTCTAGATAGCTCCTGCCAATGGAGGTACACACTTGGACCCTCATATGTCTAGTACTCTCACTAGCATGATATCCTCACGATCCCTTCATGTTGTGATGTGTCAGAGCCTTGTCCTGTTCATGGCTGTGTGATGCTTCAGTGTATGCTCAAAGCATACTGTGTATCCGCTCATTTGTCTCTGGCACTTGGACTATTGCCACCTGTAGATGTTGTGAAATGTGCTGCTGTGGACACCATGGAGATGTTTTTGTATCAATGTGTGTTTTCATCTCTCCCGGGTGCCTGCCTGGGAGTAGAAATGCTGGGTCTCGTGGATATTTGGTTTAAATTTTGGATCAACTGTTGTTAGACTGACTTCCAAGCGCTGTGTCATTTTACCCCCCAACCTGCATTTTACTAGGGCCCTGTTCCCATCTCCTTTGTGTGTGTGTCGTGGGGTGAGAGGGAAAGCTGGTACTGAGGCTTGAATTCAGGGCCTAGATGCTGTCCCTTAGCTTTTTCCCTTAATACTGGTACTTTACCGTTGGAGCCACACCTCCATTCCTGACTTTTTGATAGTTAATTAGAAATAAGAGGCTCTTGGATTAGTTTGCTTGGGCTAGCTTCAAACTGGGATCCTTATATCTCAGCCTTCTGAATAGCTAAGATTACGAGCATGAGCCACCTGTACCCATCTCAAACGTTTCTTAGTTGTTGTTGTTCTTGGTGGTGGTGTGTTGGTGTTGGTGGTGTGTGTGTGCGCACGTGTGCGTGTGTGTGCATGTGCTGATCCTTGGGCTTGAACTTAGGGCCTGGTTGTTGTCCCCTAGCTTTTGTGTGCAAGGCTAGCATCCTACCCCTTGAACCATAGCTCTATTTTCTGGCTTTTCTGTTGACTAATTGGAGATAAGAGTCTCATGGACTTTCCTGTCTGGGCTGGCTTAGAACCACAATCTTCAAATCTCAGCCTCCTGAGTATCTAAGATTACAGGTGTGGCACCTAGCTTTATAAAATTTTTTTTTCTCCCTCAAAGATCCAGTGGTTACTTATCTCATGGTCATGTTGCTTCCCTCCTTGTCCTCCTCCAGTCATGGGTCTGAATGAAGCTTGCTGGGTGTGCCAAGGCATGGACCTTGGTTTTGTCACATACTTTCCATCATAGCTTCTCTCCTGCTGTGTCGGAAGCCTTCCTACAGGTCAAGGGCTCTTAAACCTGATGTTGGCTGACAGTGTAAGACCTAAACCTTGTGGAGCTGCTATTCAGGACATCCACAGGGGCCTTTTGACTGGGGGTAGGGCAGGCTCAGAGGCCACAGGAAGGAAGATCTGCCTGGGCACACGGACAAGTGAGGCTCAGACTGCTACTGGAGGGTCCCGTGGTAATAGTATCCCTGAGGACCACCCTGGACTCTTTTTTCTTTTTTTTTCTTTTTTAATGTTTTTTTTTTGTAAACATACTGTACAGAGGGGTTACAGTTACATGAGCAAGGTAATAAGTACATTTCCTATCAAGCATTGTTACCTCCTCTTTTGTTTTTCCCCTACCATCTCTTTCCTCCCTACCTCCCCAACTCTCCCCTCCCCCCTCAAGCTGTAAAGTTTGTTTTCAACATAGTGTCTTGTACATCTCATTGTTACAATGGGTCAACCTGTATCCTTATTTCAGCATTTTGTTATTTCCCTTCCCCTCCCCAAATTAGAAAAATGTATATACAGGATGTAGGGCACCAACATCAAATACAGTGACCACAGGGGTTATACTGTGGGGGAAGAACATACAAGAGAAACAAAAAAAATTACATAGTACATATTAAATACATTAAAAATAATAACAAGAAAGAAAAAACAACTTGTGTCCCTATCTTGGGGTTCATTTCACTTACCATCATCTTATATAGTCATATGTACATAGCTTTTGACCTTTTCTGCTTGTCCCAGACATATACTAGTTATTGCAAATGAGGGAAACCATGGGACCTATGTACCTTTGGGCCTGGCTTACTTCCATTTCCTAACAAATGGGGTGATGTCATTCTTTCTGATGGAGGCATACAATTCCATTGTATAATATGCCACATTTTCTTGATCCATTCTTCTACTGAGGGGCATCTGGGTTGGTTCCATATCTTAGCTATGGTAAATAATGCTGTGATAAACCTAGTTGTGCTGGTAGCTCTAGTATAGCCTTGTTTGTGATCGTTTGGGTAAATGCCCAAAAGTGGGATTGCTGGATCATAGGGAAGCTTTATGTGGAGTCTTTTGAGGAACCTCCATACTGCTTTCCAAAGTGGCTGAACAAGTTTACACTCCTACCAACAATGCAGTAAGATTCCCTTTTGGCTACATCTCCTCCAGCATCTGTTATTAGATTTCTTGATTCTAGCCCTGGGCTCTCTTGTAGACTACTATGTGCCCCTCTCCAGTGGAATTTATTTTCAAAGCCAGCAACCTAATATTGTGGCCTCAGGCCTAACATACAACCCAGGGTATAAGAATGGCTGGCAGGAAGTCTGTGGATGGGGTGGGGAGAGCACTGGTTTTGAGGCCAATTTCTTCTGAAGGGCTATCCCCTGAGTGAATGGGGATGGATCCTGCCCCTTACTAACAGATACTGACTTGTCCAGGTGCCATGAGCTTTTTGGAGAGACCCAGTATGGGCCATGTGCTAGAGACTTAGAAGCAGGGTCACTTTTGGCAGCCACTGAGACGCTGGCATGCCCGGTCCATTCAGCCCCCAAACAGTCCCTTCCCAGATGAGTCAACTAAGGCCAGGGGAGCTCACGTGCCACTAAGTTGGCTGAGAGTATCTGCCAGTATAGAAGAAGAGACCAGACCTGGCCTGCCTCACCCCAAGATCTTTATGAAAACCCATGAAGTCCCCATATTACAAACAATCTGTACATTCTTGGAGGGAAATGGCCTGCCACCCAGCTCTGGCCAGATTGTAATTAGTCTTGGTCTCCAAGGGAAGAGGTAGCCAGGGCACAACAGCAGGAAGCAATAGCTGTACAACAGGGGCAAGCACAGGGCAGGACCACCTGGGGCAAGTAAGCCCCTGCTCTTCCTGATGGCCTGATCTGTCTGTGGGGGTACCTCTGACCATTGCTGACTCCTTTCCCTCCTGCCCACTGTCCCTGGAGGCTCAGGGACAAGGCAGCACCCTCCCCCACCCTTGGGATTGCACAAGCTGCTGCGTGTGTGCGTGCATGTGGCTAGCTGCCGATTACTGGAAGTCCCGAGGATTTCTGCACTCCAGGGCTTGGCCGGGAGCGGTGGCCACCTCCCCTTCCTGCCTCCCTTGGTGATTAAAATTCTGGGCTGTCTGCCCAAGTTCTGAGCCCTCCCACTGCACCCCACAGGCTAGTTTGGGTTCCTGGGCAGTACCAGAGCCCCCCAGGGCAGGTCAGAGTTGCCCTTGAACATCTGATAGTGGTGGGAGCTGTGTCTGCTTGCCCTCCAAGCCAGGAAAATCCTGGGGGGGGAGGGTCATTAGTATGTTCCTAATCCCCCAAACCATACTGAGATTCTTCCTGGTTCAAGTTGACCCCTGACCACTCCTGGGAGACACGAGCACTGACAGCTTTGTGAAGCTGCCGAGGAACAGGGCTAGGGCCTAGGCGACTGGTGGACACCCAACCCAAAAGGTGTTGGGGTGAACTGTGCAGCCTTAGACTAGTGGTTACAAGGGCCAGCCTGACTGCTGACTCCCATTATGAGCAGCTTCTCTAAGGGTGGTGGCTACAGCCCTGTTGCCCAAGTTAATTGTTAACAGGTGTGGTCAGGACCTGGGAAAGTGCTTCCACAGCTGGGATGGCCAGAGTGGGCTGGAGGCATGTGGGGAAGGAGGGAGCCCTCTGGGTTTTCCACCTCTGGCTACTCTAGAAGGCAAAGGAGGCCAGGTGATCAATGTTAAGACCACCTCAGCATATCCACATCTCCCTTTCACAGGACATGATGCCGCCACCACTGACACACAAGGAGAAACCCAGATAGCTGTCCCTGTGGCCTCAGGTTGTGGAGCCCCCACCTGCCACCCGATGCTCGCAGTGGGACCTGCCATGGATGGGGAGTGTCCTCAGCATGAACTCCCGCCAGCGGGCAGCATCCCGCTGCAGGTGAGTGCAGGCCATCATCCCTGAGGCCACAAAGCAGGACTCAGAGCCACTCTCAAGTGAATTCTGGCTATTGCCCTTCAGAATTTGACCTTGACCCTGACCTTTTCAGTTCAGAGTTCTGCCTCTGCCAGCTCTCCTGGAGCCCTGGAGAAGGACTCATCTCTGAGTGAGATTCTTCCTACAGAAAAGAATCCTCTGGGGATTCACCTTCAGCTGAGCAAACAGTGCCATCATGGGCTTTCAGCCATAAAGATTTTGTTATTTTTGTTTTTGTTTTTTGTTTTTGCAGAAGTTGCTAGCCATCTGGGAAAGGCACTGCTGAAGCTCTGCCTAGGCCGTCCCTTCCAGGTCTCACTGAAGTGAGGACCTCCTCTAAGAGCTTTCTTTTCTTTTTCCTTTTTTTTTTTTTTTTAATCTTGGCCCTGGGGCTTGAACTCAGGGCCTAGGCGCTGTCCCTGAGCTTCTTTTGCTCAAGGCTAGCGCTCTACCACTTGAGCCACAGTGCCACTTCTGTCTTTTTCTATTTATGTGGTACTGAGGAATTGAACCCAGGGCTTCATGCATGCTAGGCAAGCACTCTACCACTAAGCCACATTCCCAGTCCTAGCCTCTTTTTTTTGTTTTTTTTTTTAAAGACAGTTGCAGCTCAGGCTGGCCTAGAATGTGTACCTTCTGCTTCAACCTCCTGAGTGCTAGGATTACAAGTGTGCACTGACTATGTAATATACTATTTCATCATCAGTTTTGGTTTATAGGAAACCACTGGGAGCTAATTTCCCATATTCTTATGCCCTCTCTGTCCCTTTACTAACAGCCTGCATTTGCATGGGAAGCTGTTACAATTAATGGGCCAAAGCAGATACAGATACATTATCCTTAGCTCAAGTCCAAAGTTAACTTGAAAACTCACTCTCTATGCTGAACATTTTATGGATTTGATAAATATGTCCTCCATTAGAACACCCCACAGAATAGTGTCAGTGCTCCAAAAGTCCTCTGTGCTCCACTCATTGATTCTCCTCCCACAACAATCTTATTCAAATCTATAACTTTGCCTTTTTCAAAATATCATTGTTGGAATCATACAGCATTGTTATCTTTTCACATTGCCTTCTTTTTTTTGTCGGTCATAGGACTTGAACTCTGGGCTTGGGCGCTATCCCTCAGCTCTTCAACTCAAGACTAGCACTCTACCACTTAAGCCACAGAGCCACTTCCGGTTTTCTAGTGGTTTATTGGAGATAAGAGTCTCATAGAGTTTCCTGCCCGGGCTGGCTTTGAACCATGATCCTCAGATCTCAGCCTCCTGAGTAGCTAGGATTACAGGCGTGAGCCACTGGTGCCCAGCTTAGCTTCTTTTTTTTTTTTGGTCCGGTTGTGGGGCCTGAACTCTGGGCCTGAGCGCTGTCCCTCAGCTCTTCAGTTCAAGGCTAGTGCCCTACCACTTGAGCCACAGCATCACTTCCGGCTTTTTTCTTTTTGCTTATGTGGTGCTGAGGAATCGAATCCAGGGCCTCATGCATGCAAGGCAAGCGCTCTACCACTGAGCCAACTTCCCAGCCCCCCCCCTCTTTTTTTCTTTTTTTTTTCCATTTGTGGGCCTGAACTCTGGGCCTGGGCGCTGTCCCTCAGCTCTTCAGCTTAAGGCTAACGCTCTACCACTTGAGCCACAGCGCCACTTCTGGCTTTTTCTGCTTATGTGGTGCTGCGGAATTGAACCCAGAGCCTCTTGCATGCAAGGCAAGCGCTCTACCACTGAGCCACCTTCCCAGCCCCCGGCTTAGCGTCTTAAACTTAGTAATGTAATGTGCTTTTGCTTTTTCCTTTTTGTGTGTGTGTGGTAGAGTTTGAACTCAGGGCTTCATGCCTGCTAGCATTGCTGAGCAATGCCTCCAGCCTCGTTTCTTTTTTTTGGTAGGTCGTGGGGCTTGCACTCTGGGCCTGGGCACTGTCTCTCAGCTCTTCAGCTCAAGGCAAGCACTCTACCACTTGAGCCACAGCGCCACTTCCAGCTTTCTGGTGGTTTATTGGAGATAAAGAGTCTCATGGTGGAGCTGGAAGGTGCTCAGTGGTAGAATGCTTGCCTTGCATGCATGAGGCCCTGGGTTCGATTCCTCAGCACCACATAAGCAGAAAAAACTGGAAGTGGCACTATAGCTCAAATGGTAGAGTGCTAGCCTTGAGCTAAAGAGTTGAGGGACAGTGCCCAGGCCCAGAGTTCAGGCCTCACGAACTTTCTTGCCTGGGCCGGCTTTTTTTTTTTTTTTTTTTGGGGGGGGGTCTGGTCGTGGGTCCTGAACTCTGGGCCTGGGCACTGTCCCTCAGCTCTTCAGCTCAAGGCTAGCTCTACCACTTGAGCCACAGCGCCACTTCTGGCTTTTTTCTTTTTGCTTATGTGGTGCTGAGGAATTGAACCCAGGGCCTCATGCATGCAAGGCAAGTGCACTACCACTGAGCCACCTTCCCAGCCCAAAAACATGCGATACTTTTTTTTCCTTCTGCTTATGTGGTGCTGAGGAATCGAACCCAGGGCCTCATGCATACGAGGAGAGTGCTCTAGCACTGAGCCACCTTCCCAGCCTAGGCTGGCTTTGAACCATGATCCTCAGATCTCAGCCTCCTGAGCAGTTAGGATTACAGGCTGAGCCACCAGTGCCTGGCAATACTTTTATCTTTATTTTTTATTTATTTTTATTTTTTTTTGCCAGTCCTGGGCCTTGAACTCAAGGCCTGGGGACAGTCCCTGAGCTCTTTTGCTCAAGGCTAGCACTGTACCATTTGTGCCACAGCACCGTTTCTGGCTCTTTCTGATTATTTGGTGCTCAGGAATTGAACCCAGGGTTTCATGCATGCAAGGCAAGTACTCTACCACTAAGCCACATTCCCAGCCAAACTCCAGAACTTTTATATCTTATTGTTGCTGGAATGACAGATGTGTACCACTGCATCAAGCTTCTCTCTATCGAAATGAAATCTCTCACACACACTTCTCTGTCCAGGCTGACCTGGTACCACAATCCTCCCTATCTCAGCTTCCTACATAACATGGGATGACAGGAGTGTGCCACACACTCAGCTATGGGTTGGAACTTTTCTTCCCTGGGCTGGCATCGAACTGAGATCCTCCTAAGTAGCCAGAATGACAGGTGTTAGCTACTAGTACCAGTCCATTTATCAGTCACCTGCTGAAGGAGATCTTGTCCTTGTCATCTACTGAAGGACATCATTCCAATTTTGACTGTGAATAAAATGTCTTAAGTAGCTGGGCACTGGTAATTTATGTCTATAATCCTAGCTACTCAGGAGAGATCAAGATCCAGCCCAGGCAGGAAAGTCTGTGAGACTCTTATCTCAACTTAAGTTCTAAAAAGCCACAGGTGGCTCAAATGGTAGAGTCTTTAGCAAAAAAGCTTAAGGATAGCACCTAGGGCCTGAGTTCAAGCCCTAGGACCTGTACAAAGGGGGGAGGAGGTCGGGGGGGGGGCCGCGCGCGCACACACACACACACACACACACACACACACACACATGCACAAATCAGGCTCTTGCCATAGTGGGAAAGAAAGTAAACTACATGACTTGACAAAGACTTGCCAGAGATCATGAGGAGAGTAAGTAGGGTGTGTGACAATGAAGACTGTGAGACTGCTTAGAGGCCAGCACCCCTGCAGTCCCCTCTGACTGGAGATGGTCAGGATTTGCTCCTAGGTGCATTCCTGGCCACCCTTCCCCCTCTTTGTCTCCTCCTGCTGCGATGGGCCTTGATTGTTGTCTGTCCATCCAGGATGAGTAAGAAAAGGCTGGGTGGGAAGAAAAGCAAGAACAAGTCTAGGTTTCCACAGAGCTTGGAAATAGCTACTGGGATCCTATAGAACTCAGGGTGGCCGTAGTAGGGACATAGTAATCCCCTTGGAAAGGATGAACTCATGTTTTGCCCAGGTAGTAGCATATAGAATAGGAAGTTGCTTAAAGGGAATCCCACAATGGGCACCAGTGGTTCATATCTATAAACCTAGCTGCACAGGAGGCTGAGGATTATGGTTCTAAGCCAGTCTAAGCTGGGAAGTTCCTGAGACACTTATGTCCAGTTAACCAACAAAAAGCCAGAAGTGGATCTGTGGCTTAGCCTTGAGTAAAAAAGCTGAGACAATACTCAGACCCTGAGGTCACACACACACACACACACACGCACGCACACACACACACACACACACACCAGTCAAAAAATGGAGAGCTGGGCACCAGTATCCTAGCTACTCAGGATGCTGAGAGCTGAGGATTATGGTTCCGAGCCAGCCCAGGTAGGAAAGCCTATGAAACTCTTATTTCCAATTAACCACCAAAACTAGCCTTGAGCAAAAATGCTCAGGAACAACACCCAGGCCCTGAGTTCAAACCCTAGGACTGACACACAATAAACAAATAACAAAAGGGGCCCCATAATTTGCAAGTATTGGGAGCAAAAACCTAGATATGAGATATGATAGGAGTCACTTGCAACTGGGGAACCCTAACTGATGTTCAGTGCCCATAGCTGGGGTTGAGGTAGGGACAAGGATCTAGTTCTCTGTCACTCCTTCTCCCACCATGTGCCCTGCCCATACTTTTCTATGTCTCCCCCATTCTTCCTCTGATCCCTCATCTGCACAGCTATAATCTGCCTAATTACTTCCCTGTTATTGGGCCTTTGGGGAGAGTCCAATTTCCGCTGCTATATATAGTGCGGCTATATTTTAAGAGTGTGTTTCCAAAATAGGATTCATGGGTTGGGTCAGAACCATGGCTGGAGAGTGTACAGAGGATGGATACAGAATGATTGCAGAATGTGCCACTGCTTGGGCTGGGAATGTGGCTTAGTGGTAGAGTGCTTGCCTAGCATGCATGAAGCCCTGAGTTCAATTCCTCAGTACCACATAAACAGAAGAAGCCAGAAGTGGCACTGTGGCACAAGTAGTAGAGTGCTAACCTTGAACAAAAGAAGCTCAGCGACAGTGTCCAGGCCCTGAGTTCAAGCCCCAGGTCTGGCAAAAAAAAAAAAAAAGTGCCACTTCCCTCTCCCCTTTATGGTGACATTTCAGGGAAGCCAAGCTTCTGCGGCTCCTTCTAGGCAGGCATGAGGATCCTAACTGCCCTAAGGACTCAGAAACTGGAGTCTGGACTGGCATATGAATGTTGGTCCCTGGGGTAAAAAGTCCTGGTGGAACCCTAACTTGGTCCTGTGCCTCCACTGGGTACCCTGAGCATGGAGGGAAGGCTTCCTAGCACTGTCTTAGATTGAGCTGTGGCAGAGTCTGGGATGTCACCCCACAGGCCATATCATATAGCTCTTAAGCTGCCCTTTTTGTTTCACAAGAGAGAGCAGCCCCTCTGAATCCAATAGACATGTTACAGGTAGGATCTGATTGTCTGGCTGAGGATTAGGTGCCCATTTCTGTACTAATCACACGTGCCACCTCTCTGACTGCTAGTGAAGAATCCCAAGGGAAATGTTATTTATTTATTTATCTATGTTTGTGCCAGTGTTGGGGCTTGAACTCGGTGCTTCCCACTCAGGCGTGGCTCTTTGCTCAAGGCTGGCATTCAGTCATGTGACCCATAGCTCCACTTCTGGCTTTATTTATGCTAATTGGAAATAAGTGTCTCATGGACTTTTCTGCCCAGGCTGGCTTTGAATCTCAATCCCCAGATCTCAGTCACTAGAGTAGCTAGAATTATAGGCATGAGCCACTGGTACCTGGGTGTACCAACACTTCTTGAAGAGGGCATGGAAGATGTGGGTCTTGGAGCGTGGCCAGCTTCCCAGTAATGCAAGTCAGAGAGGGTAGAAGTGGATGAGCCCTAGAGTTGTGTCCAGAGAGATCCTGAGGAGGACAGTAAGCAGCCCCCTCACCTGGTAATCAGCCTGACTTCTCCTTATGACCATGGGGGCTTCCCTAGTGGCTAGTGCAGAGAAACTAGAGTCTTTTTTCTTTCTTTTTTATTGTGAAGATGCTATACAGAGGGGAAACTAGAGTCTTATTGGGACTGGCTCTGGAGCAGGAGCCTACTGAGGTCTGCCTTTTCTGCAGGGAAATGAATCCATGGCCCACCCCCCAGGAGGACACAGGAATCGCTTACAACACAAAGTTCTTTGCAAATAGCTTCACTTCCCTTTTTTTTTTTGAGGGGGAATGGAACCTCCTGCATGCTAGCAGGTGTTTGCCATAATGCTATACCCCAGCCCCTCCTCTACCATCTAGATTAGGGGAGCCTCCAAACAGGGTCCCTAGGCCCTGAGCCTGGCATGTGGGAAGCTCCAGGAATTTGAGTCCTCCTGGGGTTATATCTTGTAGAAAGCGAAACTTAGGCACCAGGTAGTTAAGTAACTCCCAAGTGGCCCAGAGTGAAGCCCCAGTTGATTACAGAGCCATCACACGACGTTATGAAGTCCTTTATACCCTCCCTACTGGCCTCCCACACACTTGTCCCTGACTCCTCCCTTGCTATGTTTCAGAATGCCCTGCTGCACTGTCCATGGTGGGGCAGTTTCTCCCAGGCGCCGTATCCAGCCTTCTCCAGTGAAAGCCCGTAAGTCTTAGCCCTCAGCCCCATGCTTCTCAGTGCAGAAATCAGAGCTCCCAGTCCTGAGGGCCCAGTGTCCATCCTTCTTTGTTGTCCCCCGGGCCAGCAGCACCCACCTAGACCTGCCTTCCTAGCTTTGGGACAGGTCTGAGGGGCCATATTGGGCCAGGGTTGGTCCCCATAGGGTTGACCTCCACTGACACCAGCTCGAGCCCCAGAACAAGGATGGGGGCTATGTGGATCCTCAGAGCCATGTCTTGCTAAGCTCTGTCTTGAGTAGAGTGCAGGAAGGGAACCTATGTTCCAGCAGCCTATGCTTACCTTCCTCTGTCTTTTCCCCCAGCCAGTTCATGAGCTCCACGTTCCTTGGTGGCCATCCTTGTCCAGACACCAGCTATGCTTCTGTAGCCACTGCCTCCAGCTTCCTGCCAAAGAGTGGTGACTTTCCTCAGGTAAAAGCCACAGGCGTGCTTGGGGCACCAAAGCTGTGATGACCTCTGAGTGACTACAAATTCATCAAGGGTGCCGTTGGTAACAAGGAAATGTGGCTGGTATTTTGGGAACAACCAGTTCTCTGCTCAGCTGCTGTGGGCAATAGAAAGCAACCTGCCAGGCCTGAGAGTCCCTGCTGTCCCTGCCTGGACTGGCTTCAAATGACGATCCTAAGACCTCAGCCTGTCAACAGTCTGTCCTCCTGGCCTAGGGGGCCTTATCTTGTGATTGGGTGAGGATGTGTTTGGAAACCTTTCTAACAAAAGCTGGGGCCACATGGGCAGATGGCCTGTAGACACATTGTCACATTGTCCTCACACTCTCCATGACTGTCTTCTATCTGATTCATTCCTCACACTGGGCACCCTCTCCACAGGCTGCAAACCACAGTCTTCAGGCCCCACAGTAGTGAAGTAAGAAATTAGTCTATGCCAGGTACAGGTGGCTCACACCTGGTATCCTACCTACGCAGGAGGCTGAGACCTGAGAGTCACTATTCAAAGCAGGACTAAGCAAGAAAGTTTGTGAGACTCGTATCTCCAGTTAACCACCATAAAACCAGAAGTAGCACTGGGGCTTAAAGTGGTAGAGTGGTTGACTTGAGCTAAAGAGCTCAGGGACAGCACCTAGGCCTAGAGTTCAAGCCCTGCGCCCCGCCACCCCCACATGAAGAAGAAGAGGAGGAGGGGGGGGGTAGAGGGTAGGGGGACAGGGAAAGGGAGGGTAGCCTATAAATGCCTGTAATCCTAGCTACTCAGGAGGCTGAGAGCTGAGGATCACAGTTCAAAGCCAGCCCAGGCAGGAAAGTCAGTAAGACATCTCCAATTAAGCACCAAAAAGCTGGAATTGGAACTGTGGCTACTCTCTCTCTTTCTTTCTCTCTCTCTCTCTCTCTCTTTCTTTACAAAGCAGAAAGAAAAATATAGAGACAGGGATGGAGTCTTCCAGAGACAGAGAGGGAGCTAGAATCAAAGAAAGGAGGAAAGATAGAGAAATAAGACACAGACATGGAGACCAAGGGCTCTTGCATTCCCAAAGTGTGTAAGGCAGCATGGACTCTACAATTTCGGAGAGATCAGACATGCTGACACCTGCCAGCATCAGCCTTTGAGCACAGACAGAGACACATTTTTTTTTTCCCATGATCATGTCTGAGTTGCACTGGGGACTCCAGGGTTGTGGATATGGTGTATTGGGTAGCCCCAGAATTGCTGGAGCACAAGAACTCTGAGTCTTCTTCCTTGCTTGTGGTGTGTGTATGTACATGTGTGCATGCACATACATGCGCATGCACACACACACACACACACACACACACACACACACACACACACACAGGCTTGAACTCAGGGCCTGAGCACTGTCCCTTAGATTTTTCACTCAAGGCTGGCACTCTATCACTTGAACCATACCACCCACCTCCAGGTTTTTTTGTGGGTCATGGGTCTTGAACTCAGGGCTTGGGCTAGTGCTCTACCATTTTGAGCGACAGCTCCTCTTCCAGTTTTGGGGTGGTTAATTAGAGATAAGAGTCTCATGGACTTTCCTGCCTGGGCTGGCTTCAAATCACAATCCTTAGATCTCTGCCTCCCAAGTAACTTGGAGTACAGGCACAAGCCACCCGCACCTGGCCCACTTCCAGCTTTTTGCTGGTAAAAATCTCAGAATTTTCTGCCCTGAGCAGGCTTCAAACTAAGGTACTCAAATCTCAGCCTCTTGAGTTTACAGATGTGAGCTAACAGTGCCTGGTTCTCTCTGCTTATTTCTGGTCGTCATTTTTTGAAGCTCTGTCTCTTTCTTTCTTTGTCTCTAACACCCTCTCCATCTTTGTTTCCACATCTCTGTCTCTGTTTCCCCAGGTGTGTGTCTCTCTATGCACTCAGTTCTTACCCATTTTCCTTGTAGTCTTGCCAAGAATCCACACAGTTTCTCAGCTGAGTGCTGGGGTCCCTGTCACTTGTCACCCACTTGTCACTCTTCATCTGGTAACATGAAAGTTAACTGTTACTCCATGTTAAAGGATGATAGTGGGGCTGGGAATATGGCTTAGGTGGTAGAGTGCTTCCCTAACATGCATGAAGCCCTGGGTTCAATTCCTCAGTACCATATAAGCAGAAAAAAGCCAGAAGTGGCACTGGAGTCACGGTGCTAGCCTTGAGCAAAGGAAGCTCAGAGACAATGCCTAGGCAAAAAAAAAAAATAATAATAGCAACAATAAATACCTATTTATTGAATACTTCCTAAATATATGGCCTGCCAGCATGGCACAGATTACCCCAAGCAGCTGGCCCCCTCATTCCAGTGCCTTTGTTGGGGTAGGTTGGGCCCAGCTGTCTTTCTCTCCCCCTGCCCTTCTCTCTTTCTCTCTCTGGTAGTTCTTGAACTCAGGGCCTCACATTTGCTAGGCAGGCATACTACCACTTAAACTGTACCCTTAGCTATTTTTGCTAAGAAAATGTAAGACATTTATGCTCAGGCTGGCCTAGATTGACATCCTCCTATTGATGCTTCCTATATAGCTGAACTTACAGGGATGTACCACCATATACAACTATTGGTTGACATGATGGTGGTGTCAGCATGACCTTGTACCACAATCCTCTTGATTGATGCCTTCTGAGTAGCTGGGATTACAGAGAGAACCACCAAACTCAGCTCCTAGGTGTCTCTTATTTTTATTTTTATTTTGCCGGTCATTGGGCTTGAACTCTGGGCCTGAAAGCTGTCCCTCAGCTCTTCAGCTCAAGGCTAGTGCTCTACTTGAGCCACTGTACCACTTCCAGTTTTCTGAGTGGTTTATTAGAGATAAGAGTCTCACGGACTTTCCTGCCTGGGCTGGCTTTCAGCCTCCTGTGTAGCTAAGATGATAGGCATGAGCCACTGGTACCCGGCAGTGTCTCTTTTATTTTTTTATAAGTTTTTTTTTTTTTTTTTGTCGGTCGTGGGGCTTGAACTCTGGGCCTGGGCGCTGTCCCTCAGCTCTTCACCTCAAGGCGAGCGCCGGCAGTGTCTCTTTTAAAGTAGTGGCTTCTTCAGATGGGGCCTCATCCCTAGAGGACCTCTTCCACCTTCCCCATGACAGGCCCATGGGCAGGCTTCAGGTATCTGTGGAGTAAGGAGCCAAAGCCTAAACCCAGCCCTCATATCTGGCCTTCAGCCAGCTGCCCCACTATGGAAGCCCCTCTAGTCCTGATTCAGACTTGTGGTGAACAATGCAATGATGGCTGTATCAACATCCTGGTCCCTGGAGCCTCTGGCTGTCACCTCATGTGGCAAGAGAGACTTTGCAGATGGGATTAAGCTTAAGAACCTTGAGCTTGATCATCCTGGGATGATCCAGGGTCACTTGAGGCTCAGCATCACCACAGGGTCCTCAAAAGAGGACAGTGACTGGGACATGTTATGCTGCTGCCCTAAAGAGGGAGGAGGGAACCATGAGCCAAGGGATGCGAAGCTTCTGGAAGCTGGGACAGGCAGGACAAAGATCCTCCCTGGAGCCCCAGGAGGGACCAGTCCTGCTACCTTCTGACTACACACTTGTTCTCCAGACCACAAGAGGTGCATCATTGTGGCTTTAAGCCATGAAGTTTTTAGTAGTTAGGGCAACAGGAGGAAAGAGACACAGACTGGCAGGGGCCTGTGTCTTGCTAGTGACACAGTTTTCATGCTCTAGAGTTTTCTTTCTTTCTTTTCTTTTCTTTTCTTCTTCTTCTTCTTTTTTTTTTTTTTGTCTGTCATGGGGCTTGAACTCTGGGCCTGGGTACTGTCCCTAAGATCTTTTTTTTTTTTTTTGTCAGTTGTGGGCCTGAACTCTGGGCCTGGGCGCTGTCCCTCAGCTCTTCAGCTCAAGGCTAGTGCTTTACCACTCGAGCCACAGCACCACTCCCGGCTTTTTCTGTGTATGTGGTGCTGAGGAATTGAACCCAGGGCCTCATGCATGCAAGGCAAGCACTCTACCACTGAGCCACCTTCCCAGCCCCCTGAGCTCTTCAGCTCAAGGCAAGTGCTCTATAATTTAAGCCACAGCACAACTTTTGGTTTTCTGGTGGTTCATTGGAGATAAGAATCTCACTGATTTTCCTGCCTGGTCTGGCTTTGAACAGTGATTCTCAGATCTCAGCCTCCTGAGTAGGTAGGATTACAGGCGTGAGCCACCAGTGCCCAGCTTAGAATTGTTTCTTTTAGCTGTGTAATTCAGAAGGTGCTGGGATAGAAAATCTAGAGCTGGGTTAGGAGTGAGGAGAAAATATAACCTGTAGGCTTTCACCTAACAGCTGGCAGTGAAACTTGAACTCTTTTTAAGTTTCCTGGTACAGGAAACAAAAAGAGAAAGGAGACGAGGTGTGTGACTAAACATCTGTAAGGAGAAAGCAGAGGTACTTTCATTTGTGCTGAGTCTTTCTGATCTCCCTTTGGGGTATGGAGCAGCCCTCTGGGGTCTGCTCCACTTCCCTCCTCCGCAGGGACTACATGTGGACACACAGCTCTCAGCCTGTGGTTAGCTTTGGCTTCCTTGTCTTGCGACCTGCGCTGAATCTAAACCGTCAGCTCTATAATACCCCTTTCCTTGATTCTATATGTTAGCCCATCAAGATCTAGGCCCTAGAGAGGTTGGGACTGTGGAATGGGGGATGATACGGCTCAGTCTGGGGGTCTTCACGGATCTATAGAGGTCGCCCCTTAGCCTTGCTGGCTCTACTTTCAGGAGCATAATGGTAAAGTTCTTACCCCAGCCCTGTGTGCCACTCTGGCCAGCCCCTGCTGGATGCCTTCCACAGATTATTCCTGCCCCACTGGTGGTCAGAGTAGGTCTGGAGACTGAGGACCCAGGTCCAAATGCTGGGGGACAGGGTGCACCAAAAAAAAAAAAAAAGCTTTGAAATGTGAACTTGTGATGCTTGAGGTTTCTGTGTTTGACTGTTTCACCATACTGGGCATACTTGTAATCTCAGTATTCAGA